ACCACGCCGTCGAGTGAGTGGGGCGGAGCTGCCGCGTGCGCGGCGCCGAGGCGCGGCCCCTCGGCGGGCCGTTCAAAAATCGCGACTGCTGGCGGAGTTGAAGGCTGGTGGAGTGGGACCGCCAGGCTCGCGCATGAAACACTGTCGGCCATCTCTTGTGGGAAGGATGGGATGGGAGGGTAGAGAGCCGCGGAACACAAGGCGTTGGCTTCTTGCAGGGTTATTCTTCGGTGTGAGGGCCTGCGGGGGGAACGTCCTGGCCTCTGCCTGTCCCCGTCCCTGTGAGCGGGAGCTCTTATGGGGGACACGACGGTTGCCCACTGGTCGAAGTTTTAACCCAATTTGGAGCTGAAGCGAGTCGCAACTAACGTTCAGCATACTAGAGCCCTATAGCCCTGCATCTTGGGCCCCTGGCGCATCTTATTGCACGCCTCGCCGGGGCCCTGAGGGCTTGCTTGACGGTCTTTGGCACTGTCAGGGCTGATGACTACAATTCCCACAACCCCTATTGGGTTAGGCACTGCCCTAAACAATTTACTTAGTTGTCTCGTTGGATCCTTACAACAAGCCATTAAGTATCCCTACCCCCCCCGCCTTTTTTTTTTTTTTTTTTTTTAAAAAAGATTGGATCTCTCTGTCGCCCAGTCTGGAATGCAGTAGCGCGATCATAGCTCACTGCAGGCTGGAACTCCGGGACTCCAGTGATCCTCCCACCTCAGCTTCCAGATCAGGTGGGAATACAGGCGCTCTTCACCATGCCCGGCTAATTTTTCTATTTTTTGTAGATGCGAGGTCTTGCTGTATTGCCCAGGCTGATGTCGAACTCCTGGTCTCAAGCTGTCCTCCCACCTTGGCCCCCTCAAAGTGCTGGGATTACAGGCGTGAGCGCCTGGCCCGTTTTTCATCGGAAGAAACTAGAGGCAAAAAGTTTGGTGGCCAGGCCATTCTCCTGTCTTTTGAGGAAAAGATACTCTAAGCTAGTTACGTGCGAGTCATTGATGACGTTTGTACACTGTTTACTTTGAAGCAAATGTCCAGACAAGTAATAGTAATAATAGTTATCATTGAGCCTCATGTGTCAGGCACTACTCAGCCTGTGTGTTACCTGATTGAAACAACCCTATGCCCGTTTCATAGATTGGGAAACTGAGGTACTGAGAAGTGAAATAGCCCAAAGTGATTTCACTAGAAAGAGACACAGGGTGGGAACCTAGTTGTGATGCACCTGTTTGCCAGGTCTTAATCACTGAGCAATATTGCTGTCTAATAAATAAAACCAGTTCCAGTTTGCAGGGAACCCAGGGTTTAAACTAGTAATTCTTAGAGATTTTAGAGAGGAGACGTGTGTAAAAGTGTGTATTTGGGGCACAGGGCTGGTGAACAGTCATAAAACAGCAGGCATGCGTCTGTCCATAAGAACAGACTTCACACGAATCTACAGATTGTGTTCCCAGGGAAATACACATCATATGTAATATTGCATACATTTTCAGAGGATTTAAAGGTACACTTGGAATGAGCCAAGCACAGTGGCTCATGCCTGTAATCCTAACACTTTGGGAGGATTGCTTGAGCCCAGGAGTTTAAGAGCAGTCTGGCCAACATAGTGAGACCCCATCTTTATAAAAAAAAAAAAAAAAAGCCAGGCATAGTGGCCTGTGCCTGTAGTCCCAGCTACCCCACAGGCTGAAGCAGGAAGATCGCTTGAGCCCAGGAGATAGAGGTGACAATGAGCTACAGTGGTGCCACTGCACTCCAGCCTGGGCAACAAAATGAGACCTTGTCTCAAAAAAAAAAAAATACAAATTAAAAAAAAAAAAGAAAAGGTACTCTTGAAATATAAGCGAGGTTAAAACCTTTCCGAAGAAGTTTTGATGGCCCACTGTTCTAAGCATAATAGAGGGAAAGATAAAATGGTATGGACCTCCAAAAGGAACCCGGTGAAAACTTGTTTGCCAGCCAGTTACCTTATATTTTATGGGCTTTTACCTTTTTTAAGCACGATCACATTTTTCCTCCTTATTTGGTTCTATCTCTGAGAGGTAAAGCTCATTATTTTAGAGAAGGCAACTGAGGCATGGGTTGGTAATCCACCACTGAGGTGCTGATGAGACATGCTGGCTTTCCTGTTTCCACTGTCACTAATTCTCATTTCTCTGCCCAGTTTGAGGCTGTCCTGTGTGTAATACAGAGTAATTGGGACAGGATCCTTGCCAGTGGCAAAATCTCTCCATCTAATTTCCAAAGATGGAATTAGAGAATAGGGATTCAGTTATGATTCTAAGAGTACAATAAGGCTGTACCTTCCTTTTATGGGCCTGTGACAAAGTCTGATTGGGTGATAACTGTACTTAACCTGTTTGCAAGAAGGTTGAAAGGATGCTTTAAAAATGAGAGGAAAGAAAGGTCAAAAGTCAGTAAAGAGTGTATCTCTTTAGTCATATGATCCAGGGTTATTGTTGATGTTATTTATTGAAGCTTAGAAAGATCTTATGTCCATACTGACTTGGATAAGCTCCTGGGCTGTCTTTATGGATTTCTGTTACTGTGGTGTACTTATTTGGTGCCTTTGGCAAGGTGCAGAACAGTGTTAAACTACATTGATTTCCCAGTAGTATACAGCAATGTATTATAATCCTCCTAGGTGACTCCTACTGAGCTCTTGCTATGTTCTTGGCTCTGTGGATGAGATATGTTCATTCTCTGAACTTGTCATTTAGCTGGTAGGAACTCTTTGAAAATAGAAAGTTCCAGATCAGTACAAGGGATGGTGCCAATTCAGTCCTAAGATCCCCATTATCTATGCAAAATCTCATGATCATAACTGCTTTGTCATGGTGACTCTGGCTAATCAGTAAGTTAGGTTTACATTCTGCATACACATCCCTGACTCCTTAAGATGGCATTGATATAGTCACGTGCTAGATTTCTAACTAGGCTTAACATTTCAGAATCCTGCTGTTCTAAGGAATTAACTCATAGTTGTCTTTAAAACAACAAAGAGGCCAGCAGGCGTGGTGGCTCACACCTGTAATCCCAGTACTTTGGGAGGCTGAGGCGGGCGGATCACGAGGTGAGGAGATGGAGACCATCCTGGCCAACATAGTAAAACCCTGTCTCTACTAAAAATACAAAAATTAGCCGGGCGTGGTGGGGCGCGCCTGTAATCCCAGCTATTCAGGAGGCTGAGGCAGGAGAATCACTTGAACCAGGGAGCCTGGAGATTGCAGTGAGCTGAGATTGTGCCACTGCACTCCAACCTGGCGACAGAGCAAGATTGTCTCAAAACAACAATGAAAAACCCAAAACACCTTTTCACTCCCTAAAGGGTTCTGGATTATCAAAGGTTTGTGTTTTTTTTTTTGGTTGGTTGGTTGGTAAGTTAGTTGTTTTAGACGGAGTCTCTCTCTTTGCCCAGGCTGGAGTGCAGTGGCACCATCTTGGCTCACTGCAACTTCTGCCTCCCAGGTTCAAGCAATTCTCCTGCCTCAGCCTCCCAAGTTGCTGGGACTACAGGCGCATGCCACCACACCTGGCTAATTTTTTGTATTTTTAGTAGAGACGGGGTTTCACCTTGTTAGCCAGGATGGTCTCAATCTCCTGACGTCGTGATCCGCCCACCTCGGCCTCCCAAAGTGCTGGGTTACAGGCATGAGCCACCATGCCCTGCCATCAAAGATTTTTACACAGTAACCCAACAGACTTCTTTTATGGAATATAGTTGTGTTCTTTAATCATCTTTCTAGACCAGAGGTGGTTATGACAAGCAGAACTTGTGTGCAGTGGCAGACACTCTTGAAAATATATGAGAGACAGGGGCTTAAGTTCAGGTCCAAGTAAGCAACTGTAATTCTATCCCCCACCTTTTCCCCTCACTAAAGAATTATGTATTGGCCGGGCACCGTGGCTCACACCTGTAATCCCAGCACTTTGGGAGGCCAAGGTGAGTGGATCACGAGATCAGGAGATTGAGACCATCCTGGCCAACACGGTGAAACCCCGTCTCTACTAAAAATACAAAAAAGAATTAGTTGGGCATGGTGGCACGTGCCTGTAGTCCCAACTACTCGGGAGGCTGAGGCAGGAGAATTGCTTGAACCTGGGAGTCAGAGGTTGCAGTGAGCTGAGATCACCACCACTGCACTCTAGCCTGGGCGAAAGAGAGAGACTCTGTCTCAAAAAAAAAAAAAAAAAAAAAAAAAGAATATGTATTAGACTGGCCCGGTGCGGTAGCTCATGCCTATAATCCCAGCACTTTGGGAGGCCGAGGTGGGTGGGTCATGAGGTCAGGAGATCGAGACCATCCTGGCTGACACGGCAAAACCCCGTCTCTACTAAAAAAAAAAAAATTCAAAAAATTAGCAGGGCGTGGTGGCAGGTGCCTGTAGTCCCAGCTACTCGGGAGGCTGAGGCAGGAGAATGGTATGAACCCGGGAGGCGGAGCTTGCAGTGAGCGGAGATGCGCCACTGCACTCCAGCCTGAGCGACAGAGCGAAACTCCTTCTCAAAAAAAAAGAGTATGTATTAGACTACAGCCCCTGACAATGCTGTTGAGGTAGGAATAAACTTGAATTTGCTCAAATATATTAAGACCAAATCAATGCAACGTGAGAACTGTATATTTTAGTATAAACGTGGCTGGTGGTAGTTAGTGTAATTGTTTAATAATTTGTTACAATGTTTAGATTGAGAGCTGCTTTAGTACCATTTACCTTTTCAACATTTCTTTTCAAAGTATGCCTAAGAATGATAAATTTACTCTGTAACCGAAACCTTAATATTTTATATCAAACAGTTTTAAAGGACACCTTGGAAAAAAAGGGGGTATTAGGGCATTTAAAAGCAAGGATCCGAGCTGAAGTTTTCAGTGCCCTAGATGATGACCGTGAACCCCGACCATCATTGTCTCATGAAAACCTTCTAATTAATGAATTAATTCGGGAGTATTTAGAATTCAACAAATATAAGTATACAGCATCTGTCCTCATAGCAGGTAAGTGGTTATTGTTTATCACATAAAATCTGTTTCTCCCCTTTCCCCAATTCTCAGAAAGTGTTTATCCTAGAAATCTGATTCTTTTACCAAACAGTGCCATCTGGGTGACTGGGACACAAAAGTCACATGGGCTCTTTCTGTAGCTTAAACAAATTCTCACAAGGGAAAATACATAACTTAATAATCACTTAAAGTAGGCATATATTTGGAAAAATCATCTATAATTCCTGGTACTAAGAATAAGCAATTGTTGACTTTTTGTCCTGTTTGCCACCAGTTTTTTCCTGTGTATTAAGCTTTGAAAATATACGCTGATTAAATATTTATTAAGAAATAGGCTGGGTGGGTGGCTCACACCTGTAATCTCAGTGCTTCGGGAGGCTGAGGCAAGAAGATAACTTGAGCCCCGGAGTTCGAGACCAGCCTGGGCAACACAGGGAGACCCCATCTCTGCAAAAGAATTTTTTAAATTAGCCATGCATGGTGGCACGTGTCTGTAGTCCTAGCTGAGGCTGAGCGGGGGCCCAGGGAGTGGGGGGATCATGTGAGCCCATGTGCTCTGGGCTGCAGTGAGCCATGATCGCATCACTGCACTCCAGTCTGGGCAACAGAGAGAGACCCTGTCTCTTTTTTCTTTTTCCAGAGACAGAATCTCGCTCTGTTGCACAGGCTGGACTGCAGTGGTGTGATCATGGGTTATTGCAACTTTGACCTCCCGGGCTCAAGCAGTCTTCCTGCGCCAGTCTCCTGAGTAGCTGGGACCACAGGTGCATCCCTCCACGCCCAGCTAAATGTTTTATTTATAGAGGTGAGCTCTCACTATGTTGCCCAGCCTGGTATTGAACTCCTGGGCTCAGGTGATTCACTATCCTCGACTCCCAAAAAGCTGGATTACAAGCCATGAGCCACTGTACGCACAGCCCCTGTGTGTTTTTTTTTTTTTTTTTTTTTTTGAGATGGAGTCTCACTCTATCGCAGTCTCAGCTCTCTGCACACCTCCATCTCCTGGGTTCAGACAGTTTTCCTGCCTCAGTCTCCCAAGGAGCTGGAACTACAGGTGTGTGCTAGCACACCGGCAATTTTTTATTTTTTTAGTAGAGACGAGAGTTTTTCACCATATTGGACAGGCTGGTCCAACTCCTGTCTCTTTAAAAAAAAAACTCTCCCTCTCTATATATAGTATGTAGATATCTGTGTGTGTGTGTGTGTAATGTGTCTGTGTGTTATATATCATATCTTATATATATATATATATGGAGATAAAACTTTGAAGTGTTACTACTATGTAGTGGTTAGGTATATTTTACAAATGTATGTATCTAAAAGCATGATATTTTTAAAGGACTAGGCATTATATTAGGTTATTCTTGGATTGCTATAAAGAAACACCTGAGACTGGGTAATTTTATGAAGAAAAGAGGGGTTTTTTTTGTTTTCTTTTTAGCAGAGTCTTGCTCTGTCACCCAGGCTGGAGTGCAGTGGCGGCAATCTTGGCTCACTTGCAACCCCTGCCTCCTGGGTTAAGTGATTCTCCTGC